TCCTATGGACTACATCATTAAAAAAAAAATTCAGCGACGTTCACCGAATTATTTTTCATTTGCATCCATTATTTGGTAGGGGGTATCAATGCAAAAATGCGGTTTCCATAATCATCCGTGATGAAACAATTCCTATCACTTTTGACAGTTAAATGAATTTCATTTATTCTTCGGTTTCGAAAATAGGGGTTGGGGATAATAATTCCCCCCTCATTATATTTTCGTATGGATAATCTATGTTTAGAAGTAATTGAATGGATTGAAGAGTCTTGGAATATCGTCATGATGAAATAGACGGAATAAATGGTCAATTCAATCAAAATGTGAATTCAAACCCCCCCGGGCTAAAAAAATGTCTATTTTGGGGGTTCGATCAATGAAAATATTTGATAGAACCACATGAACTACATAATACCAAAAATTGAGAAAAATCCACCAGGGACCCAATTTACCTTAATTGCAGGGTCCTTTCGAATGAAAGCGCTAAATGCTAGTTCAAACTGGCAATTATATAAAAAAGTATCATGTCCGTTCAGCGCTTTCGTAATTTTTCGATTTCTGTAAGAATTATGTATTAACCTGAATCGAAATCTGATAGCGGATTAAGACAAAGATGGCTACCAAACAATTATGTGATATTTTTCCACTATGAGTACAGAAATTATTTTTTCAGTCGGCTCGATTTGATGAACTAGATCCCATAATGAAAGATATGATTTTTCGAAGCGCGCTTCGATATGAGCATTATTTGATTATCTTTATCTGCGATCAATATTATCTCATTATTGTGTATGAAAACTTTCTCATTTTTGTGCAAACATGATTGAAAAATTCATTTTTAACTCCTTTACACACTACCCTTGAGGTAGAGTTGTTCAAATTAGAATACTATCTGATTGCGGGATATTTTGCGATCAATTGTTTTTCTTTTATAATGCTATATGCACGGCAGCCCGTTTGTTTCGGAGCAGGTCGTGAGTTAGTTTCATTTATTCACTGGATAGGTTATCCTTTTGTCGAGCGCAACTCATTTCTCGAAGCGAATTACTGAGAAATAAAAACGAATATATAGATACAAGCAGAAGTAACTGTTAACAAATTTATTCACCCTAACGTGCCAATAATAGGTATTTGAAGTGGAGGTGAATAAGGTTTCATCTCAGTACAAGGGTAAATTTCCCTTCATATAGGCTTATACTTTGGGTTCACAGAGTCACTAGCAGAGTCAATACTATTTGACTGAAATATGTTGTTTACATGTACTCTAATGTCTAAAGACGTGGGACATTGAAAAATGATTGTTGAAATTCCGTCAGACAGGAAAAGACAATATGATCAGTTGAATGTCTTTAGACAGCAACAAATATTAATGGAAACTTTGACCTAACTGCAAGTACTGGATTTCGAACCATGAGATTCAACCTGCTATCCACCAGATCTCACTACTTGGTTGAAATGGAAACAGTCCTTTACCAGTCGGCGTTAGGGGTTGATTGTGCTGGGGAAACTGTATCTCCAAACAGTTGACAAGAGTCACGATCACCTGGAAACCTGAGCACTTGATTCTTGCCAGGGCAACTGGATGCTGCCCTGGAACTCTGGCTGACGGGTCCACAGGCTGCCACCAGAGCAAGCTCCTCTCACAATCCAAGCTGAGCCAGGATATCCCACAATCAGAGTAGGTACTGAGAGTTTGGGCTTCAAAGCGATAAAAATCCTAAGGGATGATAAATCATCTATCACACACTGGGAGTCTGGACACCCTTGGACTTCCTGTCAGAAGTCAGGATCGCTTGCTATCTGAACCAGTAGAGCTGGTGAGGACTAGCACTGTTGACAACATGAATTCTGACAGATATTCCGGACTGTCGAGTCCTAAAGATGCCCTAGGATACACACAAGAAATCACCAGTGTCCTGTCTCCACCTTCAAGAGCATTGGTAACTCAGGCTTCAAAGCATCAAAGATCCCTCAAGTGCCTCAACCAACAAACAAAGTGTGCATGTGATGCCCAAACAGTGAAGTGCAGAGCACATTCCAAGATTTCCAAATACCCATTGATGGTGAGAAGTGCGGTTTCTACTGATCCATCTAGTCAACCGTTCGAGAGTCCAGAAACAGGCCATGGGGTCAAAACGAAATTAAGTACATCTCATCCATCTGTACATCCTGCTTTCCGCTATAAGGCCGTGATATCTGAAATGAAAATACCCTATCGAATATCATCCACCAAATGGAATTTAATATTTCTCACCTTCCTATCGGAATGAGCCTAATAGAAAACTAGGTGCCCACCACCTGACCTGGTCGCACGAGAGCCGTGATAAAAAATGTCCCCATTTACACATCGAAATAAAATCTCTTTGTAGCAGAAATAATCATAGAAAAAAAAAACAAAACTGGAATTGCTCAAACAACAAGTTTCCGTCAATCACAGCACTTACGATTCATCTCAAACATTCCAAACCAAAATTCGTCTCTGCACAGCATCGGGTTGGCCACTCTTCTGAACATCTTCTATCTTGATCCAAGAATGAAGCTTGAAATTAACTGAATATCAATATTACAGTATCGATAGTCGATACAGCAGTCGAGTCAACAGTCGATACCATTCTGTGGATATCACTAGGCCATCACACGCTACCGCCACTAAACGTGATAAACACATAAACAGTAGTCTACTGGCGAAAGATCAAGAAAATATAAAAGATGTAAAGGTTGACCACGAAGTCGACAAAACTAACCTGACTATTATCTAGTCATGGACATTGAAAATGAGAATGAAAATATTCATTAACATGGAATTACATCAGGTACCCAGAGAGCTGGAGAAGAAATCGTCAAGTTACACAATGCAACTCCACAAAGCTTTCCTTATAACAAAATTCACACTACGGAACACGAAAAGGCAAATTTTCATGTAACATTCTCCCCCTTCCATGGATATAAAAGATAGGCATCGAGATATGATTATTTTTCGTACTCAGAATTTCTATATACAGCAAGAAATTCTCAATTTCAAATTGAGCTCAATCTTCCTTTGTACTAATTTCTATCATCTATGAATTGAGATTAATTTGAATTCAACCCACAATCTCAACTAGTATCTACAATGGTATGCACAAATCACTAGTGTGATGTGTTTAGTAACCTCTTCATGATCATGATTCCTTCTAACTGTCACATTCAGATTCCTCATCACTATGGATTGTGGAAACATCAGTAAGTGATTTTCTGAAACATATACTAGTTTCGATGTTTTCTTTGCCACCGTACAAATAATGTAGCAGCATTTGAGAGGACTCGGTTCTTCTTCCGAACCTGTCTCCTACGAAAATTTGTATATCATTCCGCCGTGAATTGAAATATTTTTCAATTCTCTTAGGTATATGACAAATTCAATTTATTTTTTACATCCTCAAAAATTTCGGATGAAGTTCCCAAGTTCCGAGCCCATCGTTCTCTACTGGTTGTATTTATTTGTACATCTTCTTTTTCAGAATATTCACCTGAACAATAAGGAACTTCACGTCAGGCAACTCTTTATTCCATGGCAGAGTGAGATAAAATTTATTATTTCAGAACTGAAAATTCAGACAAAGAATGACAAGTTAGTGAATCAGACGTTCTGTTTTCTGTTGTCTGCTCATATGATCCATCGGACATGTGGGGGGTTCCAAGACTGCTAGCAAGCAGTATATATCACTGACGATAATTTCAATTGGACATTGCTGTTGGCAAGCAGTGTATATCACTGAAGATGACCACACTAGGTCATAGAGTGCATTTTTGATAAATCTCTCGCTCCAGCAGATAAAAAAGAGGGGAGTTTCCATTAGAAGTGAGACACACTGTATACATTCCACAATTTTTTATGAGAAACATACGAGCAAAGTGTTTCGCAAAGGGGCTGAAGAAACATTATGAATACTTTTTTTCTAGTTCAGTCATGATTTGAGTTGATTATTATATGATTCAACTTTTGAAAAAAAATAGTTCGAAAAATGTTATGAAAAAACTAAAATTTTTCAAGAATTTTCAAATTGATCACTTGCTCACAATGACTGCCTACGTGGTCACTATGACATTTGTCTAATTCTGATTCACGTGAATTCATACATGGAGATTGACACTCAGTCAACGATTTGGTTACGGTTAGTTATATCAAGTATTCGTCTATGAACTTTCTATTACCTGATGATGGGTTCATATTAGCCCGGAACATGTTCCGTTACGATTGATCTTTGATCATTCTCATAAAATCAGTGAAGATGGCTTTGAGTTTTCATTTATGAACTACACCACTCCACTTTGAGTTACCATGGAGTTGTCCCAAAGATTATTTCAAGTCGTTGGTAGGTCGGTCGATATGAGAGAAGTGCAGTATAGGTTTTTCGACTTGTTTGTCGGGGTATTTGTCGGCTCATTTGTGGCGTCGTTTGTGAATCGTCAAAGGAGAGTTGAGTCTGGACTCTGTAGAGTCGAAGAAGAGAGTCTAATGTAAAGTCAAAGGTGGAGACCCGCGGTGGTATCGACGAGTTGTTGTTCATCCACATAATCAGAAGCTAACGGAATGAGTGTATTATGATGGTGTACATCACAAAAGTGAATTATCCCGAATATCAGGAATACCGTTGAAGTTACTCAAGTGAAGTCATTGGGCTGCTGTTTACTGCCAAATTCGTCGAGAGATTTTTGAACTCGAGCTTGAGCTACAGGTACACTTTCCTATCCGAACTAATAGCGCGAAATGCGAGTTTGAACTTGACCTCCTTGAATTGACATTACGAGTAACTGATTTAGTTTCAGCGATTCAAATAATGATTGAGGTTGTTATTGTCTATGTTTTTATTCATTGGTTTATTTTCCTGAATAGATGAACTCTTTGTAAATACTCAGTGTAGTTTTTTCCTATGAATTCCTCGGGGACCTTTTTCACGACTCTGAATATTTTATTTGTATCACCTTTGCAAATGCCTGTATAACATCACGATACTTACTGGTTCCTCCAATTACTTGAATAAATTCTCCAGTAATGTACATTAGTGGACCATCCCAATGTGCCACACCAAAGCTGATGGTACCTTCGATTAACAGAACAGAATGTTTTTGCAAATTCAGCTGCAAAGTAACACCGGCTGGTACCTCGAAGTTTTCAATACAGATGTGTGTACATCTCTTAACGACGTCCGCTACTTCGGCATAGCTTCTTGCATAGCAATAGTCTGAGGTAAGATTCTTGGCTGTTAGATATTCAAGGGATTCGCCAGTTGAAGAAGCTGTTATTCCAACTACAATAACTAACAAACTCACTAACGATTTCAGATGAGAAAACATGATTGACTCCCAACAGTTTGATGTGTCTGATGATTCTAAATGATCAATTTGCTAAATTTGAATCAGAAATTACTCCTCCATATCTCCATAATAATCAGAAATAATTCGATATATTTGATCCAATCGAGATAATTATATTTCAGAGTTAATTGGAGGATAAGATCGATTCAAACTGGATTTATCTGAATTACTCGCATACGTCAATATTAATGGGATTTTTTCAAGATAGTCAATTATCTGAATATCGCAGTATTTATGCTCGAAATATCAAACCACGAAAAAATTGAAGTGTCCTACGTGATCGAATGCACGCGGCAACAGGCGAAGCGATGCGATCAATGAAATTAGATTAGGTAATATCTTTGCGCGGTTGATGCTCGATGATGATAGATATAAAGATAAATAATATTATTTACACTTTTTTGACATCGATATCTCTTCAAGACTTTCAATTCGAGATATGAGTTTGCGAGTCAAAATACGCCCTGCCTTTACGGAAATACAAATTAGCGAATGATTCACGTTCACATAAAGTTCGCCCACCTAGGACGCCACGTAAAAATGTCCCGCGATATAATTTTGGGAGTCCTGAAACTTCGACAGCTCATGCTCATGCCAAAAGTTAAAGTTACTATCGAAAGTGCAGTCAGTCCGTGTTTAATTTATTAGAACAAAGTGAAAATAGTATTTTCAGTTCTACTTATTTCAGGTAGATCGAAAACCGATCTTATTTTGCCAGCCAGACCATAAAACTATTACCCAGAGCAGCATGGAAAATGAGTTCCACCGAAGCGTTTATGCAAGTACGAAATAAGGCGTAGTGAGGCAGCGATCTTACTGAATTTACTGTACGCTAGCACATACCACGCCCCTCGTAATACGTCATATCTTCAAACATCACCGATATACTCGGCTTCAGCACATCGTTCAAAATATACTGTGTTCCAACACCGAACAGGTTATTGTTCGGTGGATCTAGCTCTTTTTCATCTGTTTCCGAGATGCAAATATTAAAAAGTGAATAAAACAACATATGATATAATTCGATGACTATGTAATGTGAAATTATATATATAATGTTTCCTTGATGAAGTCCAAAACTAATTTGCGTAAAGTAACTCAATTATTGCGCACAATCCATCCTTTAGCTAATGGTTATTTTCTATGGTGAACCAATTGATTTTTTCAATTTTGTTGTCGACATTAGCACTACAACCCTTTACTTTGAATCGACTAGGAATTCTGTCTTCGGTCTTAATTTTGTTAATGTCTGAAATTATGTATATGATTTCGCCCAATCCATTGTATTTTAGTGTTCTCGCTGACTTTCTCGATTCATTCACTACATTGTTTATCAAAATTAATATTTCCTCCACTTTGATTCAGGTTTTTTCGCACCCGCAAGTAAGAATTTGTACTGTTCCCGAATGATAACATCATTCCCGTGCAAATTCACGTATTGTTCCAACTGAATCTCACCTATTTCTCCAAGGAGTTCGGAAAATCTATCAAAAATGCGGCTATTATGATAAGTAAGTGTACTGGAGCGCAATATATTTAGTGCGATGTGCTGACGTCGAGTGTATCTGAGCCCTTTATCGGACATGTTTGAAGATGACTGATTAAGGTTAGCAGGGTTTGTGCTAACATACCTTTACATATTTTTAGTGGAATTGCAGTCAGACACTTGCTCAATACTGTACTGATTTTCTACGTGTACTCTGATTCCATAATGAGAAATAAGTATTGCAAAAGTTATTTTTGAGGAGATATAACTTCGTAAACTATTGGTACTTCGCAAACAGTTGATTGATTGATGTCAACTTGAGATTTCATCATAAATGAAGAAAAAATTTACAGATGATTTTGATGAGCAGAAGTAGGTGCCAGGCGAGTCCCAAAGTGGAGGGAATATAATTGGCTCAAGTACCAAAATTGAAGTTTGCTGGCCCGACATTCCGATTCATATCTGATAATAAAATCATTTGAATTGAAACATTGTTGTTCCTGGTAAAAAAAATTTGATTTATTCGCTTGAGAGGGTAGTTTACTCTAGCTGCTTACCAAGAATCTTTGCTAACCAATTCAAAATCTTGCTGAAAATTACATATTTTATGATCTTATATGTATATTGAATGAAAATAATAATAGCAATAATTCTGATCCACTCCTTAAGAATGTTTTTCAAAAATTCTTGCTGACCGAGCATTTCTGGTATGAGTGATTGCTCCAAATTGAATATTTTAACTCCCTATATCCCTGTTGTCACCAATAGAATAATTTTGATCCACTTCCTCAGAGGGGTCCCTTTATTCTTGCTGTTTTTCAAAATTTCTTGCTGACCGAGTACACAGATAATAAGGATTTCTTTGATCAAACGAAACCATTTTCTCGAAATTGAATTATTTTGTACAAGAATCTTCCATTTGAATCAAACAATATACATTCGTCTCAAATCAATTGGCTTGCTTGCTTCGTTTCATAAATTTCTTGAAATGAATTTGCTCAACATAAACAGTATTTTTCTTCATTCAAGAGAACCGCAAATCCCAGTGACAATTCCTATAGGCTCAAGAAAATCTCTGCTTGTCTAAAAGGCTTGCAGTGAAGTATATATAGTATATATAGTGCAGAACGCCTGCGCCAATTCGAATAGTCAGTCAACAGCCGCTATTTGTCATTGCCGCTGTTGTTTCTTCTGAAGACGGTGCATAACATAATTGTTTTTCGATGGTCAAGTGTTCAAGAATCGACTTTGCTGAGTCATGAATATGATAATGGTGTGGTATCATTTCAACAGCAATGCGACGTTCCACATTTGAGGACAATCTGCCAGGGTGAGTTGAATAAGTGCAGGTATAGGTATTCATTTCGCATTGAATCAAGAAATTCTATTTATCTACGTAAATTTCTGGAACAAATTTTTGCTCAATTCTATATTTGAACAACTCAGATTGTCCTATAACTCCCAAGGGGTTGATTGATCTCTACTGGTGGCAATTGAAGCCGAAATTCGAGAAAAAAATGCTCGGTCAGCAACGATTTTTGAAAAACAACAGGAATTAATACCCGTCTTGAGACATAGATCAAGATTATTTACTTGAATATCCATATGAGATGTTCGAACGAGAAATGCTCGGCCAGTAAAGAAAAACCGCTAGAATGAACGATCCTTTTGAGGGGATGAATTGAAATTATTTTATCGGTAGTATAGTTTTCCATTCAAATTATTGTATCAAATATAGTTCTTTCACATCGTCATTATTAATTAAATTAAATGGGGTGTTCGATCACACATTATGACACAATAAATGGCGATAAAAAACATTTATAAAGCTGATGAAAATTTTCAAAATATTGATTATTTCACTAACCATAGTTTTGGATGCACTGATTTGGTTTCCTCGTACAGAGAGCTCTCTCGAACTTCTCCCGCACTGTTGCCAGCTCATGTACTTATCCTCTCATCCACTGTTTCTTGAGATGCACCGATTTCAGTTCACAACAGGTGTTCAAAATTAGCGCCTCCCATTTCTCGCACGGTGTAGTGATGATTCGCAAGCCCGCTGAAAACTTCCCTGTTGTCGCATTATTTCAACCGCATTGTTTATTTTTCCTCTCAAAATCTTTTGGTGGCTACGGTACAAGCCCTTCGCACGACCACATTTTTGTGGAAATTCGCTGTTCAAAAATTCCCGAACTATTGCACAGTAATGGCTAGGAGCCTCATCATGGCATGGAAATATTATTTGTCTAAGTCCAATGGCAAATCTTCTAAGAGAGTATCTAGATCATGTTGCAAAAATTCCGAATAGAAAAGTCCATTCATTCTTGGCGGCAACTCATGAAGTCCAATTAGAACTACGTTCACCACTGCACCCCATAGCGTGCTCGAAAAGCGATGTTGAAAATTAGGTTGCTCAGTCACATGTGAATTTTCAACTGCCCAGTGGTGATAATTATGATGATTGAAAATACCATTTCGGGTGAATGTTATCTCATCAGTGAAAAGAATAATTGCATTCAGGAAATTTGGATTGACTTTATGTGGACCTAGTATCCATTCACAGAATTGTATACTTCGTGGATAATCTTCTGGCTGCAACGACTGCACACGCTGATAATGGAAGGGATGCTGCATGTCCTCATTCAAAGTCCGCCCGACAACTTCATTCGAAACCCCTAATTGACGACCAATGCCGGGTACTTGAGGTTGGATCGTTTTCAAAAATTTCAGAAATATGTTGTTCTATATTTATAATTCTGAGAGGTTCATTCTATTCCTACCCGCATCTTGGCCTCTGTGAGTGCATATTTCACCTGTATCTCGGGCTCTTCGGACATGTGCGACAAACCTCTGCGACCACGGGGATGAACACAATTAGGAAACCGTTCTGCACAAAGGCGGGAGGTAGCCTCAGAATTTTTTTGCGTTTCCTCATAAATTAGAAGCATATTTATCAGTTCGTTATTCACATACACGTGGGCGTATGTCATTTTGAGTAATCAAAATTATTCAATACAAGCACAATGCACAAATTCGTTGCACAAATGAAACTGAATAGTCTTACACAAAAAGCACAGCGGAACAAAAGCACATAGTTAACCGACCAACTAAAGGGTGAAAACTGTCACAATTCGCAATTCTAGGTCATATTTCATTGATACTACCTGTCATGGTCAAAGCTGGTAATTTCACCCGTGACGTCACTTCCGTTTGGGTAAGTACACCTCACTTATTACCTGTCTTTGGGTTTTTCGACTTCTGCATTTATAAAGGTAGTTAAAGTTAAACTTGATTTGATTACAAATAATAGGATGATTATGTGAAAGATGGTAATGAGAACATTCAAATTACAAATTGATGGAGTGGAGGTCGGAAGTACAAAATATTCCTCTGATGTGTGAATGAAGAGCTTTTTCAAACTGAATTCGATGTGGGAATCCCCTTTTGTAGTTTGATTGTTAATTCAATAGAGAAAGTAGCAAGTTGCCTCGAACACGTTTTAAATAACATTTGGAATAAATATTCACGTAACCAGTGACGCGTCATTTTGTGTGACGATGGAATTTTGCAGTACGAGCCAAGCGAGATCCCACAAAACACAGAGTTACACAAAATGCATTTCCTAACGTGTTACGTGCAATATTTTTTCTAATTTTGATGAAAACTTCCGCTTGAACAGA